CATTAATGAGGAAAAAAATTAACTTAAATGATTTTAGCAAATGACTGCAATATAACAAAGAGTGAAAAATTTAAGGGGGTCTGAATACTTTCCGTACCCACTGTATATTTAAAAAACCCAAAATTTATAACCATTTTGTTCATTTCAGATGACGAAGGCTGTTCATCTTCTGACAGAGAAACAGACTTAACATCAAAAGATCAGCTGACGGTCAAAAGTTTCTCCTGCGCCACCTGTGGAAAAACACTGAGTTCACAGAGAAACCTAACGAGACACGAGAGACAACACACAGAAAAGAAATGCTTCACTAACACCAGCTTTCCTACCGCAGAAGAGAGGAGACTTCATTCAAAAGAGCACAGCATGAAGAAGGAGTTTCACTGTGAACAGTGCGGGAAGGATTTTTTCTTTCATTCTAGTCTAAAAGTTCACTTGAAGACTCACAGTGAAAAGTCTTTCCACTGCAGCGAATGTGACAAGTATTTAAGCACCAAACAATCTCTTCTTGCTCATAAGCGAATCCACACGGGAGAAAGACCGTACAAGTGTCCTCACTGTGAGAAGAGCTTCAATCATGGATCTAATCTGAAGACACATGTGCGTGTTCACACCAATGAGAGGCCGTATCAGTGCAGTGAATGTGGGAAAACCTTTAGGCAGTTATTTTCTCTGAAGTCACACCAAAGTGTACACTCTGATGAGAAACCGTTTCAGTGCAAACACTGCGACAAACGATTCCGTCAAAGATCTAATCTGAATCGTCACGAACAGATTCACACCGGAGAGAAACCATATCACTGCAGCGTTTGTGGGAAGAGTTTCAGTAAGGTTGATACTTTACAAAAGCACAAGAGGGTGGGTCTGAAGAAGGAGTTTCACTGTGAACAGTGTGGGAAGGGTTCTTTCATTCATTCTAGTCTAAAAGTTCACTTGAAGACTCCCGGTGAAAAGTCTTTCCACTGCAGCGAATGTGACAAGTATTTCAGCACCAAACAATACCTTCTTGCTCATAAGCGAATCCACACGGGAGAAAGACCATACAAGTGTCCTCACTGTGAGAAGAGCTTCAATCATGGATCTAATCTGAAGACACATGTGCGTGTTCACACCAATGAGAGGCCGTATCAGTGCAGTGAATGTGGGAAAACCTTTAGGCAGTTATTTTCTCTGAAGTCACACCAAAGTGTACACTCTGATGAGAAACCGTTTCAGTGCAAACACTGCGACAAACGATTCCGTCGAAGATCTAATCTGAATTGTCACGAGAGGATTCACACCGGAGAGAAACCATATCTGTGCTCCTACTGCGGAAAGAGCTTTTCTAGTCCATCTCAATTTGTATCTCATAAGAGAGTCCACACTGGAGAAAAACCATATCACTGCAGCGTCTGTGGGAAGAGTTTCAGTAAGGTTGGTACTTTACAAAAGCACAAGAGGATTCATACTGGAGAAAGACCGTTCAAGTGTTCTCACTGTGACAAGACGTTTGCTCGATCAGGCGTCCTTAAGGTCCATCAGCGAGTTCATACAGGAGAGAAACCTTACTCCTGCTCCATCTGCGGCGAGAGATTCGCTTATTTAGGTAGTTTTCAGACCCACCAGAACAAACACGCTAAAGAACAAACTGCTCCAGAATCATCAGAGTGACTTTCATCAGTCAATCTGGAGAAAAAAACTAAAAAATGTTCATTGAGCTCTTACTGCCAGTAGGGGGCAGTGATTTTTTTTAATGCGGTGGATTGATCCAAGTGCTGTATATAAAGTAGAGTAATGATTTTATGTTAAACCAGACAGAACTATTAAAAATCCTCAAAATAAAATACTACAATAATACGAGCGCCTGGATTTCATAAGGCTGTTAATCATGTTTTATGTGGTGAAATGCATGAAGGAGAGTCACTGGCAAATACACTCTGTTTTTCATTGCTGGACCGGTTTCTTTTAATCAAGAAAGAACCATGGTTTATTAATTATCCATTTCTTCACTGTTCTTCCAGAGCATTTATGCTGCCGTGTAAGGTAAGATATTTACTTGGTAGAAACGAATCCTCTGGGTGGATAAGTTTGGTGGTTTTGTGGGAGCTACTTGAACTTCACTGTAATGTCAAATACAGGTGCATCTCAATAAATTAGAATGTCGTGGAAAAATTCATTTATGTAGTTTGATCAGTTCATTATAAATATTGTATATCTAGTAATAATCCTGCTGTGTGTGTGTTCAGATGCTGAGCATGAAAGCGCAGGTGGATGTGGTCTGCTGTAAATCAGTAGGAACTGATCTGTCCATGCTGGATATTGAGGATTTCATCACAGAAATCTGTCAGCTGAAGAAAGAGGTGGCTTCACTGGAGGCAAAGCTGAGAGAAAGAGGAGACCAACTGAACAGAGAGGTTTGAGCAGCTCTTCAGTTCATCTTCAGCTCAGTCACTGTCTGTTTGTCCAGTAAAAATGTCTATAGCTTCTATTAAAGGGATAGTTCACCCAAAAATGAAAATGCTGTCTTTAATTACTCACCCTCATGGCGTTCCAAACATGGCTGTCATGAAGCCCTGTGCGAAGTTGACGTGCGAGGCCCTCAGCAACTGTGTGTGTGTGTGTGTGTGTGTGTGTGTGTGTGTGGGATGGGGGGTCGCTATAGTAACGAACGCAACTATTTTATTTTAAAATGTGCACATTCACTCTTATTCGTATGTCTAATAGTCGAAAACGCAAACGTCTCTTGTCACGTTCATTTATGATTTACATGAATCGTAATCGCATATTTTCAATTCAAAATGGCATTCAAAGTAGTTTGCATCACTAGATAGTCTATTACTGTCGGTCGCTGAACATTTCTATCGTAAAACGTTTCCTAATACAGTACTACTGTGCATACATTTTTCCACAAACTATCGTTGCGTAGTGACAGTAAGACCCGCCTTCTTTGATTTGATTGGTCATCTCGAACATTTTGACATTGACGAGCGCTGTTGGACCACTGAGGCAGACCAGCCTAAAAGTTTAACTTTGAAAACTTTTTGTCATCCTAACAACAAACAGCTTTACTCATTCTTATGCACAGAGTCTTATACTGTCTATCAGCTATGACTATTTTAGTCTTTCAAAGGATAAAATGGGTGGAAAAACTGTAAAGAATTATACATAAATTACATAAAATGCAGGGAGCGAGGCCCTCTAGAGGCTTGAGACCCTGTCGCACACTTGGCCCAGCCCTTGCGACGGTACTGTTCCAAACCCATAAGACCTTCGTTCATCTTCGGACACAAATTAAAATATTTTTGATGAAATCCGAGAGCTTTCTGACCCTCCATGGTGAGAGGATCTTGGTTTCTGGAGGTAGGGTTGTGGATGGGGTTTTCAGCGTGGGGTGAGGTGATTGGAATTCAGGGCTCTCGCAGCCTGGGGGAAAAAGCTGTTGAGCAGTGTTGCAGAGCAAGCTCTGATGCTCCGGTACCGTCTTCCTGATGGCAAGAGCTGGAAGAGAAAATGGGAGGGATGGGTGGAGTCCTTCACGGTACTGGTGGCTTTACTGGAGCATCGTGTAAGGAAAATGTCCAGAATGGAGGGGAGAGGGGCACCGATGAACTTTGCAGCTGTGTTCACTGTCCGCTGTAGGGTCTTAAGGTCAGCAGCTCTGCAGTTCCCGTACCAAACAGTGATGCAGCTGGTCAGCACACTCAATGGTGCCCCTGTAGAATGTGGTAAGGATGGGTGGAGGGAGACTTGCTTTTTCGAGTCGGCGCAGGAAGTGGAGCCGCTGTTGTGCCTTCTTGGAGAGTGATGTAATGTTGGTGGTCCAGGTGAGGTCTTCTGTTATGTGCACTCCCAGGAATTTAGTGCTGCTTTATTTAGTGACTCTCTCCACAGTCGAGCTGTCGATGGTCAGTGGAGGGTGGTCAACAGAGTTCCTCCTGAAGTCCATCACAACCTCCTTTGTCTTACTCACATTGAGGGACAGGTTGTTTGCACCACACCATTCAAACAGTTGTGCCACTTCTAGGGTTGGGCTGAAAGTAATAAAAAAATTAGTTGTCATACTGCCCAGCACTACTTTCTGAATACGGATTCACGCTTCGGGCACAACCCTTAACTCCCCCGTCTGCCCCCCGATGTCATCGTCCATCGCGATTTCACTGTAGACATCGTCCGATGCCAATTTTGTAGACATCGCCCAACCCTAGCCACTTCCTCTCTTTAGGGCGTTTCATCATTGTTGCTGATGAGACCTACCACAGTTGTGTCATCAGCAAACTTGATGATGTGGTTGCAGCTGAACTTGGCAGTGCAGTCGTGGGTCAGCAGCGTGAAGAGCAGCGGGCTAAGTACACAGCCTTGTGGGGCACCTGTGCTCAGTGTGGTAGTACTGAGGTCTTCCAGTTAGAAAGTCCAGGATCCAATTACAGAGGGAAGTGTTTAGGCCCAGCAGGTTTAGTTTGTTGATGAGTTGTTGTGGGATTATTGTGTTGAATGGTGAGCTGAAGTCGATGAACAGCATTCTAACATAGGAGTCTTTATTTTCTAGGTGGGTAAGAGCCAGGTGGAGGAAATTGCATCGTCTGTAGAGCGGTTTGGACATTATGCAAACTGGAGCGTATCGAGTGTGTTGGGGAGGCTGGTTTTGATGTTGTGCATGACTAACCTCTCAAAGCACTTCATCATGATTGGAGTCAGTGCTATGGGACGGTAGTCATTTAGACAGGACACAGGTGATTTCTTTGGTACCAGTATGATTGTTGTGGATTTGAGACATGTGGGGACGACTGCCTGGCTCAGCGAGGTGTTGAAGATATCTCTTAGGACATCTGTCAGCTGTGCAGAACAGTCTCTCAGTACACGGCCAGGTATGTTGTCAGGACCCACAGCCTTGCGTGGGTTAGTCCTAGATAGGGTCTTCCTTAGGCCGGCTGGAGACAGACAGAGCGCCTGGTTGTTGGGAGGTGTGGGCAGTTCTTTGCAGGTTTGTCATTCTGCATTTCAAACCATGAATAAAGGTGGTTGAGTGCATCTGGGAGGGATGTGTCGTCATCACAGGCCTGTGGCGGGGGCTTGTATTGAGTGATGGTCATGTAGTAAGGACATCGTTAAAACAGTCCATATGCCATCAGTGGTTCAACCGTAATTTTATGAAGCTACGAGAATATTTTTTGTGCACAAAGAAAACAAAAAGAAGGCAGCGGCTATTTGCACTAAGTGTAAATAGTAATAGATTCTATTTAAGCCGCGGTCACACTAGACTTTTCGTTCCATTGATTTCCATTCATACGCATGCGATTGCATCAGACCGGAAACGCAAGCATGTGCGAAGATATTTTGCTACATAGCAAAGTTCAAGTTTGGTGAACCCTGATCTGCGAATTCGCATCACATGACACTGTGTGACCAACAGCAGATCGATACGTCACAGCATGACCTCGTAGCTGAATTAAAAGAACATAAATTTAAATCTGCAGCGCTGCAGGAAAGTGGAGTAGATTGTATGTTTTTACATTTTAGATGTATTATTATTGGTTATGTGTAGTGTTGTCACAGGAACAAAATGTCAGTATTCGGTACCAATACCAGTGAAAATCCACGGTTCTCGGTACCACCGGTACTTAAAAAAAACCTGGTACCGTAACGTTTTCATTTTTTTAGTACCGACTTGGTACCGAAGTACCGGGTCTTTTGACAACACTAGTTATGTTTAAGTTAAGTTTTTAAAAAGATGCTGCAGAGCATGACGTCATATCACGACCTTTGCAGCATGTGAGGGCATTTTGCTCAAACTCTAGTGTGATCGCGACTTTACACTGTTAAAATTGCAAGATTTTCTGCTATTTAAACTACTTCTTGCAAATAGTGGCATTTATCTGCACCTCAGTATTGTAGTACATTATAAAACAGAATGCAGTAATAATGTATTGAGTGTAAATTATCATTTAAATTCATATTATTAAATGGATGCCACCTTAATGGGACAATATAAGCCCTCCCTACCCTAACCCTACCCTATACTTTATTTTCAACTTTTTGATTATTTCCTTCATTTTTATTTTAAACAAATGCCTTTCCGATGTGATATGAGATTTTAAAAAGACGAAAAAAGTTTGGCAAAAGGCGTATTCAAACTTGTCGATCGTGTCAAAAATGACCAAGGCATGCGCTTTACCATCTACGCCACTGGAGATGTAGTTAAATAATCGTCTTTTGTAGTCTTGACTAGCCCAATCACACGTTGGTGGGCAGAGTTAGTGTAAATAGCCTCTGCCAACAAGGCGGCCTATTTGCACTTAGTGTAAATAGACACTCCGCAAAAATAATTACTTTATCCAGCAATTTATTCTCTTCCGTGTCAGTCTTTGACTGTAAAAGACTGTAAAAATGCTACAGTAAAATCTTGTTAAATGGTTAACGATAAGTTCCCCTACGATATATGGTGAAAAACTTTATTGGACATTACATGTAATTTTACGGTAGTATACTGTTTTTAGAAGTAAAAACGAATGTATAATTTACAGTGAATAACCGTAAATTGACATTCCCAGAATTCCCTGCATTACATTACAAATTTTATGTTTTTTTTTGCTGAAATAACGGTTTCTTCTTCTTTTGTTCTAATCAGTTTTGTACATTAGGGTTGTATGTTACACCTAATGTTGTTAAATTAATATGTATTGCATTATTTCAGTTTCATGTGTGTTTAGTGTTTGTGAATGACACTGTGCAACTTCTATATTTACATTTACATTTAGTCATTTAGCAGATGCTTTTATCTGAAGCGACTTACAAATGAGGACAATGGAAGCAATCAAAATCAACAAAAGAGCAATGATATACAAGTGCTATAACAAGTCTCAGTTAGCTTAACGCAGTACACGTAGCAAGGGTTTTAAAAATAATATAATAAATAAAAAGAAAATGGATAGAATAGAAAAGAAAAAGAATAGAGCAAGTTAGTGTTAGAGGTATTTTTGCTTTTGTTAATTGTATAATAAATTAAAAGAAAATGCATAGAATACAAAAAGATTAAAAAGCTAGAGTTCGTTTTTTGTTTGTTTTAAGAATGGAATTAGAACAGAGAGTGCTAAAGTTAGAGGGTCAAATAAAGA